TTTCTCTTAATCTTTACTTCATGAATTAATCCGTCATAGGGAACCCGAAAGGGGCGTTGTGGGGTGCTAACACCTTCCCCACACGTAACTAACTCCCTTATCTAACTCTGGTTATAATGGCCAAGTTTGGTTTTTTCTTAAAATCAACGCCTTTTTATCCTTTTCCAATGTTTATGGTCAAAACATTGGTGGCGACTCCATAAGAACCCTTTTGCGAAAACCTTGCTTTTATTAGAGGATAGTTCAGTTGTTGAGCACCTCGGAAGCAATGAACACATTTTAAAATAAAACGCGAGTCTAAACCATCTTTTCGTGACCGCTCGCATAAACGTTCGAGATGTCCCTAGACGTCGGAATGGACGGCGTTGACAGTCGCGGGCAAGTCTATCAAAAGAAGATTAAAAAAGCCTACAATAAGAAAATCAATCCCCGCGCCTTCCAAGAAGGGGATTTGGTAGTGAAGAAGCTGCTTCCCGCCCAGAAGGACAAAATTGGAAAATGGGCAGCAAACTATGAAGGACCCTTTATGGTCAAGCGAGCCTTCTCAGGAGGAGTCCTTATCCTTACTAACATGGATGGAGAAGAGCTTCGACATCCAGTCAATTCAGACGCTATAAAGAAATATTACGCTTGAAGACATTGCTCATGACCTGCCAGGATGAAAACTCGCAAAGAGCATCCTGGGAAAAAGATAGGGTCCATATTCCTCGCTAGGACACGTCCTAGGCAAAAATTAGAGGGTCATTCAAAAAGAAAAAAAACAAGCAATGATTACCTTAGCCAAAAACCGCAAGGCAACTAAGGTAATACTTTCCCAGAAGCAAGCAGACTACTCATAGACTTCACTCCGAGCTTGAGCATCTCAACTAAAGTAACCAGGAAAAACAGGGAAACAGAAATCAGGGACATGATTGTTATAGCCTATACAGTTTAGCCAACCTTGGCCAGTTCTGCTTCTAAATTCCTTTGTAAAACCTTCTGTAGAAATAAACCATTTGGTTATATCAATAAAAATTGTCTTCTTTTCTCTTGACCAATTCATGAAAATGCCTCTGTATTAATGAAACATAAGCATGCATAAAAAGCCAACATAATAAAGCACAAGAAAGAAAAAGAAAAAGGTAAAGAAAGATGCCTGCTAGGACATTCTTAGGCAAAAATTAGGGCAGCCTGCTAGATCGAAAACCCGCAAAGGGCGGTTTAGGTAAAAGTTAAGGCATTCATAAAAAGGAAAAAGCCCGCTAAGACATCTTAGGCAAAAATTAAGGCAGCCCATTAGATCAAAAACCCGCAAAGGGCGATCTAGGAAAAAGATAGGGTTAAAACAAAAATAAGAACCCATCAGAGTAATCATGGGAAAACAAGAATACCAGTTGCTTTATAGATGCCCCAACCAAGAATAGATTGCATTTAGGTCATCCACGCATAACTAGTCGCACAAAAATGACTTTGCCAAAATCAAAAAAACAAAAATAAATAATTGCTTCAAGCAAATAACAAAAAGAGCATTCATGTAAAGGAATTAGTTCCATGTTTTCATCTGAAAATAGGAAGCACTCAAAAACATCCGGTGTATCAAAAGACTTCACCGGCTTTTCCAAAAACATGCATCAAAGAAAAAGGGCATTTCCCACATCAACTAAAAATCCCCGACGACCAATAAAGTCGGACGACAAATATCAAAAGAGCAAGACAAAAGACTTCCCAGCAAACAACGAAGCTGGATGACCACCAGAAGGACCGAAAGAATCCCCAACACATTAGATAACTTCATCCAAACAGGAGAACATTCCTCATAGGCACATGAGCTAGAGTAGTAAGCTGCCACCACCACCAATCCTATGAAGTGGACTGTACCAGCCAAATGGAGGGTTCATACCCATCAACTTGTGCATGGCGTGCACCTGATCTCCACGCGAGCCAGACCAGTAAGTCGCAACCGGTCCAACGCTGAGGACCATACTAGCCTGATGGGGGGTTTATACTCATCCAGTCCTACACACATGGGCTGTACCTACCAGCCTGATGGGGGATTTATACTCATTCAGTCCTACGCACGTGGGATGACGCGTCAAATGCACTGGTGTGACAAATATGGTGACATGACAAACGTTGTAGCGGGATTGAAATGCGAGACTAAAACATTGTGACGTTAGCATGTGTTGAATATTTGGCAAGCGTATCAAAATTATCATTCGCAATATAGTATTTTGATTAAATAAATGTCGATCCCACGAGGAACGGTTTCACTGGAAATTTCAAATCATATGTTTACTAAGTGGATTAACATAAAATGGGTTTTTCATAAAGAATTGGATTGAAATTAAATGACAAAGAACTATAAAGTGCGTTTAGAAAATATCAAATAAAAGAACTTAGGATTGACTTACTTCTTTTTTCCTCTTTTGTATAATGACTAGGTTAATTAAGAACATCAATTATCCTAACAATGTTGATGCTACCTACTCAAATCATTTATGTTGATTCCTCACACATGAAATTCATAAGAAAACCTAGTAAATGTTGATTCCTCACACAATTACGAAATTTTCCAGCATTAGATTTAGAGTGTTAAGCAATTGATACATTTCATTCCTGACAATTAACGTAACAAATATTCTTACCATGATCTAGGGTTCAAGATATATTTTTCAATCATATCCCAAACATCAAGAATAAACGTTCAAAAGCATAAAAGATAAGAATAACAACATCAAGAACATAGATTAATATCTCAAAATATCACCAAGATACAAAAGAGTTCAAAGAAAGTGCACTCAATCTTAAGAAAATGAAGTTAGTCACTCATGGTGACCATTACAATGCTCTAAATGAAGAAGAATTGAAGACTGGACGAAACCCTAGTAGCTACGACGCCTCTCTTCTAAAAATCCTCCTCCCCCTTTTTCAAAACGCGTCTTATCTTTTTATAGGAGAATTTGGGTCTTTGGGCCTCACATCTTTCGCTCAAGCAAATGTGTTGATTTTCGCTCAAGCGAAAAGTACTCACTTGATCGAGTAAAGACCCGAGAGCTTTGTCATATTTTCGCTCAAGCGAGAATGGATGTCGCTTGAGCGAGTGAAATCCAGAGAGCTTTAACGTATTTTGGCTCAAGCAAGAATCCATCTCACTTGAGTGAATGTCAGGTTGAAAATCAAAGCGGAACTGAAACTCGACAACCGTTATAATGTAATTGATGATAAGTTTGAGTTAGAGTTTGACTTATAGTGACGACATGAAATAGAGATGGAGAAAATAAATCAATTAAAATTACTAAATTATTATTAATTATTTTTAAAATTTAAAATGAATGTTGGGTTGTGTTAAGTGGTAAAAAGTCGATATAATTATGCTTTTAATTGTTATGAAATCACTTAACTTATGTCAATTCTAATCTATTTTTCTCCCAATGTAGGATGAATTCGAAAATACCTTGATACAAAAACAAGGAGCATAATTGTCAACATAATTGAAGGAAAAAACTGAAAGGAGGAAGAAGATTTTCAACATGGAAGTCGCTCGAGCGAGATAGACTCTCGCTTGAGTGAAAATTAGTTAAAACTCTTTGGAATTCATTTGCTCAAGCGTCATTATTTTCTCTTGAGCGAAAATTAGTTAAACTTCTCCGAAACTCACTCACTCAAGTGAGCACTTTTTCGCTTAAGCGAAAATACTGAACTTTCGCTTGAGCGAAAGACGCGAAACCCAAATTCTCCCATAAAAAGATAAGATGTGTTTTGAGAAAAGATAGTAGGTTTTTGGAAGAAGAGACGCGACTACTATTAGGGTTTCGTCCAATCTTCATCAATTCTTCACTTCTTCCTCATTTGGAGCATTGTAATGACTACCATGAGTGACTAACTTCATTCTCTTGGGATTGGGTGCACTTCCTTTTGAACTCTTTTGTATTTTGGTGATATTTTGAGATATTAATCTATGTTTTTCATGTTGTTATTCTTATCTTTTATGTTTTTTAATGTTTATTCTTGATGTTTGGGATATGATTGAAAAATATATCTTGAACCCTAAATCATAGTAAGAATATTTGTTACGTTAATTGCTATGAATGAAATGAATGTATCAATTGTTTAACACCATAAACCTAATGCTGGAAAATCTCTTAATTGTGTGCGAAAACAACATTTATTAGGTTTTCTTATGAATTTCTTGTGTGATGAATCAACATGGATGATTTGAGTATGTGACATCAACATTGTTATGTTAATTGATGTTCTTAATTGGACATAGTCATTACAAAAGAGGAAAAATGAAGGAAGTGAATCCTAAGTGTCTTTAATTGATCTTTTCTAAACAATTTGTCATTTAATTTTAATTCAATTCTTTATGTAAAACCTATTTTGTTTCAATCAACTTAGTATGCATATAATTGGGAATTTTCATTGATACTATTTCTCGTGAGATTGACTTTTATTTAATTGAAATACTATACTATGATTGATAATTTTGGTACGTTTGTCAATCATTCAACAAATATTTCTGGCGTCGTTGCCGGGGAACGACGTTCCTTGAAAATTCTTTGTTTAGCTTAGTAAGTATTTTATTTTTATTTCTGTTTTTGTTTTATTTTTTGGTTTTATTTTGCTTAATTATTATCCTGTGTTAATCTTTGCTTGAGTTTCCATTTGATTTATGCGTTTAAGATGACATGTATCTTCAGAACAGTTAGAATTTAATGCGGAGATTGAAAACATCACTCGGAGGAACCATGGTAGAAGAAGAAGGAAAACTCAAGAATAAGTCACAGGAGAATCAGTTAACTTTTCTCCTATACTCAACTTACTAGATCCAATCATAGAAGATATGGCAGAGGAAAGAGCAAATCCAAATCCAAATCAGTCCTATATTGTTCTTCACATTTTAAAGGAAAGATGATTTTCAAGAATATATAGAACAAATAACCATTCATTTTCTTTCTCCTTGCAACAGAAACATATCTTGAAAAAAAAAATAATGTTTCAGCCAGGTTTAAGAAGTTAAATTACGTACCTTTATGAATGCTTCCTCCCAGGTTGTTATTAGCAAGCAAAGGATCTACAATATTCATGTATTTAGAGACAAATGGTTTCTCGTTTAATTCTTTGCTGCTACACAGAACACCATAGTTGAATTCACAGGCATTAAGAAACTGTTGGGTCAGCAACAACTCTCCGCAGTTATTACGAGGAGGTTCAGCTATCATAATTTTAAATTGAAGAGATGGAAAAGGGTAATGAGTCATAATGCATAGAGCATGTTGACTAAAATATGATAAACAGAAGAATTATTTTATTTTTCACGTACCTTCCATATTCGGAAGTGACCTTGTAGGCACTGGACCTCGCAAGCTAATGCAATACTTGCTCCAGTCAAATTTGCTGAAGAAATCGAAAAAGCACCTAAGATCATGCACCAGTAATAGGGTTACAATAGCATAAGTTTTTCTGTTTTCTTTTATCGTGAAGCCAGAACAGAAAATCACACCAAAGCAAACAAGTTCGTCACCTCAAGTGGTCCAGAAAATGTATTACTGTAAACATGAAATACACATATGACTAAAGTTTCCAATGCATAGGTTGAAATGAGCCCATGGTGAGATCCCAGGATGCGGCTTTCATAGAAACACCATGCTTTTATCAATATAATATACTTCTTTTCAATAAATGATCCTGATGTATCAAATTGTCTACCTGGAACACAAAATTCCTTGTTAGAGATCTCTGCAAAAATTGAGTAAATGAAAGAATAATAGAAAGAGAACTTGGGTCAGAAATCACCTCCTCAATAAAACAAGTGTACCCAAACCACTAATCTGGTTGAAAGATATGTCAACTACAAAGTTTTCGACTAAACACTTTATGATCTTCACCTGCCATTAAAGAGTACAGGAGAAGAATGGTGACAAAACAATTGTTAGACTATCTTTTCTCTTATAGTATTGCCATGATGTCAATGAATTTAATAACATGCACACATGTTACCTAAAAAATAAGAAACACGTACCTTTGCACGGATATACTGAACCTCTTTCACGTGAAATTGAGCCTCCTCATTCTTCTGTTCTCTCTCTAAAATACGTTGTATATCTTGGATCAGACTGTCTTCCAAATGTTGATCCTCACAGAAGGCCGTTAGATCAATGTGCCCATCAGGTAAGGTCTTCAAAGGTACGAAACCAAATGGAAATACCTGTGGCAGTGGTACCAAAGGAGTACATCATTTTACATAAGACAGGATAATCTTCTGAGGTTAAGATTCTTCTCTTTCGTACTTTCCATCCATAAATGTTCAGGAGAGGGATAAACAACCTTAAAACAACATAAAGATGATTGAAAGACCATGAACTTCCACAAGTTTTGTTTTGTACTACGTGAAGGTGATGGATTTATGTCAACTTAAGACCGCACCGTATTTTCACTTTGGCCTTCTGATAATAAAGCTTGTATTTGCAGTAAAAAAAAGATACATGAATTTATGTGGGAACGGATGCAAAAGGGTGGAGAGAATGTTGGGACTCGGGGGAACTAACGGGGTATTCATGAATGGATTTTTTATCTCACAATCTTAAATCAACTTAACAAACTCTACTAAATATAAAATTTTAACTCACATATGAAGAAAATGTATATAAAATTTTCATTCTACCATCTGCTAGTGAGATGAAATATCAGAGGATATCTATAGTAAAATTATAATATATAGATAAAATACAAATTCTACCATACAATTTTTTTTAAATTAAGTTAGCCATATTTTTATTTTTAACATAGTATTAGACTAAGTTGAAATTTCATATTAAATAAAAATAAAACAAATTTAAGTAACATAAATAAAAAATATCTACAAACGAGAAATTATATTTTTTTATAAACAAATTAAAAAGAACATTTTAGTATGTTGTATTAGATGTAAAGCCATATTCTAGATAAATTAACAAGAATATTTTAATAGATAGTTAGATATAACAGAAATAATTAAGATTTATATAATACAATCTTTTAATTAGGGTAATAAACAAAAGTAACATCAACTTGAAAAACAATGTTCTAAAATTACTAATTAAACGAAAGTAGCATTAACTTGAAAAATAATGTTCTAAAAGTACTAAATATCTAGTACAAAGTTTAACCATTTTAATATAATAAGTTTAGATCATATGATAAGTGAAAAGAAAAAGTTTAATCTAAAAATCTTTATAATATCTTTATCAAAATATCGATAACATTGACAATAAATTGAATACATACATAGTAATAAATCAATAATTATTTTAATTTTAGTATCTTAAAATTTTAGATAAAACTTGAATAAAAAAATTAATATATTTCTATTTGATCCTGTCATCAATTATAATAAAAAATATCAAATACATGAATAATGGTAGTCCCTCTCTATAAATGAGTATTACCTCACTATACAATATATTCCGTCGTTATAAACTCTTAACCTTAATGAATAAATCATATATTTATTTTAAATCAAATTAAATAATATTTTTAAAACAAACAATGTTATGCATAAAATGAGTGAAAAAATCAATTTGATTAAGAGTTTTATTGAAATAAGTTATTTATAATTATTGATATATTATGAATTTGCACTCATGTTACATGATCCCTAATTATTTGGTGGCATACCTTTATTTAAAGGATTAATAATTATCATCTTAATGTTAAACATGTTTAATAACCATTTTCTTTTGGTTAACAACATCAATGATTAACAATTGAATCACAATTCTAAATTTTGATATAAAATTTCTTAACTATGCCTCAAAATAATAAATAAACTTAACCTCTATAATATAGAAATATCAATCAAAGTGTTTTATATATAGGATACAATTTCACAAGCCATTACGTAGATTTCTTGCTATAAATCTGCATCGTAGTAATTTATCACCTTCAAACCATCAATTTATTAGTATATAAGCATAAAATCATTTGTTTCTTATAAACATCTAATTATCAATACCTAGATCGGTTTGATATCTTCTCCTAATTCTAACTGCAAATGCAATGTAAAAATTTAATGCAAATTTGAGTCTATATATATATGAATTTATTTATTTTTTGTTATGAATTATAAAGTCATTTTTTTTATCACTGACTAAATTCAAGTTTATATCACAGAGTCACACTTCATATTAAATCTCCTAAGACAAATTTAAAATATTAAGATAATGTCTATTGTATAAGATATTTGACTCATATCTTCCATATTAAAATTCTTGAAACTATTTCAACTCATTTATCATTCGTCACATCCAAATAATATATATATATATATATATATATATATATATATATATATATATATATATATATAAAACAAATTTTACTAGCTCTAACCTCTCTCACTTTTCATAAAGATGAATAATATGTTGATTATCTAACCTAAATCAAACAATTATTTTCACTCTTTTACTAAAAAATATCATACTTAATATCAGAAAGTTTCATTTATGAACAAATTTTAAAGTTCAAAATAATATGTTTATCATAATAATTTAATATTACTAATGTCTTATAACCCATCCTTTCATAAATATATGGGTCAAAATTCTACTCGATTGGATTTTTTGCGTAATTTCAACAAAATTATCAAATTATCTTGTTAGACATAAATTAAAATTTATAATCTAATATATATTTTACTCTGATTAATCATACAATAAAATGAAATAAAATTATATTATATATAGAATACATAATATTAATTGGAATTAATATTTTTAATGCAACTTTATAAAATATATAATTGTAATTAATGAAAAATATTAATTACTACTCTCAAATTTAAAAAAAATATTTATTACTAAACTTTTTTTAAGGTTAAAAGTTTACAGTTATATTAAACAAAAAATAATAACATTACATAAAATTTTATATATAAATATAAACATAATATACATAATAAATTTATACCAGTTTGTCTGAAATAATAAAAATACAGTTTTATGATAATAGATCATATTATCATAAAATATTAACTTAAGAACATCTTCCATTCAGGTAGACATAAAACATTCATGTAAATTTGGATAAAAAGTTTGCTATGTAATCTAATAAATTTACCGTTTTGGATAAATGTTTTTCATTTAAACTTACTCAAATATTTCAATAAATTACGTTCTGTTTCTCAACAAGCTACATTAATTAAGGTGAAAGTTACAAAAATATTTTCTAAACTGGTGAAATGATGATAACACTATATTAGACAATGTTAATAGGGCATGCCAAATTCCAAAGCTCAATCAATAATCTATATTTAACAGAAGAATCTATAAGCTCAATAAACAAACATGATGAATTCTTACTATGTGATACATGCAAAAAAGTAGCAGGGTCATACCAAAAATGTACACAAAAACGGAAAGAATTAACAAGGAAAACACCTGACAAGGGACACGCATGACGATGAGGGATCACAGGTAAGATAGCACAGCATTTCGATGTGCTTCTGATGTCTGGTTGGGCTGAATCTGTGCAAGCAGCTCTCCAGTTCTACCTTCAGCTTGTGACCATCTTTTCTTTTTTGGTCAACCAGCCGTCCAAACAACAAGGGTGCATGGAAACCAGACCCATTTGGAATAAAGTTGCACAACAAAAAAATCTCATATTTTCGACATATTTTTACCGATAGATTTGTAGCCGTCGAAAAATGAGTTATTATCGACAAAAATTATTAACGGATATAGAATTTGGTCTTATCGACGGATATATTCGTTGGTAAATCTGTCGGTAAATTAACAATTAATTACCGACGGATATATCTATCGGTAAATCCGTTGATAAATTAATAATTAATTACCGACGGATATATCTCGTTGATAAATCCGTTAGTAAATTAACAATTATTTACCGACGAATATTTTTGTTGGTAAATTAACAATTAATTACCGACGAATATATCCATTCGGTAAAATTATATAATAATTACTTAATATATTCTAATAAATCTTGTATATAAATATAATTTATTTGTAAATTATTATCAAAAAATTCTAGTAATTTAGTGGTGGGAGTATCGACCTCTAACTCTAAGTAAAAAATGCAATAAATAATACAAATATTATTGACGGATTCCTGTCCGTAAGTAATTTTGTAAAATATTTACCGATGAACTATTTAAATTCGTCAGTCATATTTATCGATAACCCAATTTTCGATGGATTTTTGGCCGTCAGAATTTCATCGATAATATCTATTTACCGATAGATTTTTGTTATTACCAACAGATTTTGACCGTCAGTAATTTTAATATTTTTTGTAGTATTGTTCTCACTATCCATAGCTCCACAATTTCTGCTATTATGGACAAACAAAGTCAAAAATAATTGTCATCATATGTGTCTCAAAATTTAACTTAGTTTAAGAAGCTACACAATGACCAATATATGTAATTGTCATGCTCATTTTAAGAGATCAGGGTTTTTCCATTCCATGAAAATTATCTCAACCAGCACAAAGTGTGAAAGATTTACCTATATAAAGTATCTGTAGCTGCGTATGACCTAGAATTTATATCACTATACTGTAATACATGAATGAAAGCATTTCATAAAATTCCTCTAAGATATTCTTCAGGTATTCTGTCATAAAAACGAAATTTAAAAATAAATAATAACAAATGGAATAAAATAAAATAAAGCATCTCCAAAGTGCTAATTTTTTAACTTTTCATCAAAATAAAATAATTAAGCAGATGGGACCATTGAAGCCATTTGAAAACAACACAGTAACGTTAAGAAAATAAAATTCGTTTCGCCTTTTTAGGGTTCTGATCACACAAAATTTTATACTGCTAGAACAACTCGAACATTTTCAATTGATGTAGACACGTACGCATATACGTACATGTTCAATTTTGTTTTTCAATTCCCTTTGACAATCCAACACAGTCAGCCCAACTTATCAATATATCAGGCAGGTAAACTATTAGGGACCATGTAGTTCATCATGTAGCTCATGCAGCATAGTATTCTGGGTCAGAACAATTAATCTTTTTGAAATGGCTCATTTTGTATTTGAGAAGTACACGTACATGAACAAGGTTTAATTTTGCTTACAAGATTTAATTTTGTTTCCCCATCTAACTACTCTAGGTTGGGGCAGGTACTGGAGGGCAAGTTATAGACTTTTTTCATATTTTGTATCTAGACTACTTCGATTAATTTCTTCTGCATTATTAGACTTTATCATGTACTTCTTGATCCTGAGACTCTCGAAAGAATCTTTTCCGCTCCTTAGTTATGCATGAAAAAGAAAAAAACAATTGAGATTCGACCAAGCAGTTCAGAACTAGCAAGAAGAAAACATGACACGTACACAAACCTGAGAAGTAGAAAAGAAGAGAGGACCGATCCGAAGTGATTCTGTGAGGAAAGAGTGAAAGGTGAGATTGTGAGTGTGAGAGAAGTATTGAAGAAATGGAAAAATGGTGACACAATTTGTAGCACCTTAACACAGGAAATGGCAGAAAGAGGGGTGAGTCTGGGTGACAGAGAAAGAACAATTAAATACTTGTGTGTATTATTATTTTTTTCTTTTTCATTTATCCTTTTAATTTATTTTTCATGACGAATTTAATTTTATATTCAGTTACCAGTTGACTTTTGTGTACATGTACACGGTAGGCCGTGTTGAAATGATTTGGGATATGATTTTTTTAAGTTACCATTGAAAGCTAATCGTTTTATTAAATTTGATAACTTTTAAATAATTATGAATGTAAAAAAATTTATAGAGTGTTGATACTTTTCTTAAAATTATTTCTCACACTCTTTATATAATAATGACTTGAATTTGTTCAAATTCACAAGAAGATATTATTGTTAAATTACAAAAAATCGTAAAAAGAAATCTTATCAAAATTTATAAATTTTTATAAACTTTAATTAAAATTCATTAAAAATTACTAATCATTAATTAAAGAAGCAAGATTTAAAAACAAAAAAATTGTGGTTTCTAATCTATGATACTTAATAATTGAGAATGTGTGAAGATGTATTTTAAACATGTACATTTTAGAAAAAAAAAATGCTATTAATTTATTTTGTAATACTTTTCCATTTTTCACTATTTTTTTTTTCACGTTTTCATGTTATTTATTCTTGTCTTTTTCATATGATATATTTACTCCTTTTCGAATTTGATACATAAACTTTAAGAAGAATATTATTATCTATACTTATTTTATTTATAATGTTCAAATTTAAAATTTTATATAAAAAACATTAATTTTTGAGGGATTTAATAAAAAAAATATTTCTCAGATTAACCAGAATAAAAAAAACATATAATCCGTTATTAACTAGTTAACAACTCATTTTTTTTAACATCCATCCAACAAACACTTTTAAATTTTTATATTATTATTTATAAAAAAAATAATACGTAAAAATGGTCTATTTGATGTTCAAACAAAATTGGAGTCTCAAAATCTTTTCCCATAATATATCCTATCCTATGGTTGTTTCAGTATTTCACTCACAAGTTACTGATAATCTTCTAATATATCATTTGTAGACCTCCCCTTATATTTCGTGTCAATGACGGTTGAAAAAACTCCAGATTTAAGAATACTATTACTATCTTTCTCCATATCATGTTCACATTATTTTTATAACTTGCACTGTGATGCTCTGTTTAGAAAGAGATATCTCAAGTCATTTGCACCTTTAGTTTGGCCCATCAATGAGTTCCTCTGAGCTGGCTGGGTTACACTAAAAGGAAATACCTTTTCTCTGATATTAACAGTTCCACCAATTGAACAATATCTTCTCCAAGGAGACGAGAGTTCTAAAAACTGGGGTCCATACTTTTGCAATTTATGCATCATATCCTCCCTGAAACAAAACAAATGATGTTATAAATTAACTCTTTAAACAGGTAGCTAGCTACATAATGATATTATATCAAAATAGTCACACAACTTTCAGAAGAAATTTTGTCATATAATTAGTTTGTTGCATTGTTTTCTTTTCTTTTGCTGTTATCCATAGCAAAAAGGTGACTGGGAAACAATAAATGATCCTTTGAGCGTGAAAATAAAAGTTTCCATGTCATCCCAAAAGGAATTGCCAGGTAAAAACTCAGGCTGGTCTAGTCCTGATAACTTGCGTTCTTTAAAATCATTCACAATCTGGACTGTCTACTCTACTAGTAGTTCAGATGTGTTGGAATCTTCAAATAAAAAACAGCCTTCTTCTGATAATCAGTAAAACACCAGATTTTATATTACCTTTCCAAAATTGCACCCAGCTTCTGATCCAACCAAAGAATGAAGGACCATTCCTATATGTTTTATCACTTCTACTAGGCATTTTATCAGGCATAGAGTCATCGACTGGTAAAGAATATGAGTTTTGACAAACTTCATCAATAACCTTCCCACTACACACAGAAAATTTCTGCAACACGTTTGGGGTCCGAGACACATTTTCTTGTCTAGCCTTGTTTTTATCCTCACCATTTAGATTTGGGGTTGCTGTAGATTCCTTCTCATCAATCTCAATCTTAATATAAGATCTTACTGATTCTACAACTTTGCCCTCAAAAGGTATGGGCATTACGGGAGAACCAGAATCCCCCATACCTTTTGTATTTAAAAAGGTATATACTTTTGTATACCTCTTTTAAATATTTATTATATACTTTTGTATACAATCTTTTTATAAAACCAATTCCTTTCAGAAAACAAGGTTAACAGGATATTTAGAAAAATAGAAATTATTACGATAAGAAGAAGAGAAAAGTTAAAAAAATAAATAAATACATTATACTACTTTTCGAATTTGATACATAAACTTTAATAAGAATATTATTATCTATACTTATTTTATTTATAATGTTCAAATTTAAAATTTTATATAAAAAACACTAATTTTTGAGGGATTTAATAAGGAAAAATATTTCTCAGATTAATGATAGAATGAAAAAAAAAAGATCTAATCCGTTATTAACTAGTTAACAACTCATTCTTTTTAAAACATCCATCCAACAAACACTTTTAAATTTTTATATTATTATTTATCCAAAAAAATTAATATGTAAAAATGGTATATTTGATGTTCGGACAAAATTGGAGTCTCAAAATCATATCATGTTCAAAATATTTTTACAACTTGCACTGTGATGGGGATTCTGAGGGAACCAGACTTACATGAAAATTACCAGAACCTAAAGGTGCAAGCTCTACATGCAGTGTTGATAATAGAAAGCGAGATAATGTTCCGTATCCATAAAATAAAACCTTTTACCAAAATACACTTTACGTTTCTTCAACTCTGCACAAAGATCTACCGTTGAGATTCCTAGCGGATATGATCTCAATACATGGCAAATCTGTATTACAACTTCTTTTGGATCAGTGTGTATATCTTCGGAAGGTTCATATATATCCACTATTTGTGAAGACGAAGACTTCTCAACATCTGAGACCGGGTTTTTAAGAATCACCTTATAATCTCCACACCAAGAACCATCAGGAGGATGGTTAAAATGTTTTCCAGAAAGATTTTTCCCTTTTACTAATGAAGACCATTGCCATGTTATAGTTGCTGCACTGAAGAGGCACGAGGAGCATCCCTCGAGGTAGCAAGCAATATATTGTAATTTTGCATTCTTTAACTGATGTAACATTGCAGCAAAGTCCTTATCAGCCGATATCAAAAAGAGATGTGCAGGCGGAGGATTTTGAGAAAACCAATTCATAAGATTCAGAATAAGAAATCTATCGGTGTTGTTCTTTCCACCTGCAACAAAATACTATTATAATTTGAAAAGCTAAAAATGTGGATAAATAAAACACAAAACTCCTGAAGACATGAACCGCAAGCTGTAAAACACTTGGATGATTTGCTAATTGACAAATTCTACAACAAAAATGGGAATCAGACCCTAAAATTTAAACAAATGAAAAAAATGTATTCAAAAACTGCAGCCAGCAGACATTATCTCAGAAAAGAATAAATTTCATCATACTCTTCACTGATTAAGACAAATAAAATATTCTTTTACTTATAATCTTTAACACTAAATTTATCTTTAACTTTTTTATTGAAAGTAAATCCTAAAACAGGAAAAAAAAATTGTTTAGTCCCAACATATGACACAACTTTTACTCCTTATAGTAAAATTTTGTAATTTGTAGTTCCTACACTCATATTTTAGTAGAGGATTATTCCATGCCATTAACTCCAACATTGGCAAAAGAGTTTGAATATCAACATTTGACCTTAAGTGTATCCAGTTTAGGAATTATTAGTTCACGATGGAGGAAGTCGGAAGTCTTTGGTCATCATAACTAGAGTTATGCACTCGCTTCCCAACAATGATTGAAAATAATTGTCTATGTACATTAAAAGGTGACCCATGATAAGTGTCAAGAAAAGGAGACATGGATGAAGTCCCCCAACAACAATGGTTGAAATTGCTCATGATAAGATGTCTGCAATCAAATTTCATCAAATAATTATTCTATAAGTACTACTACTTTATATATTTTATATATGTACTTTAATGGCTGGAAGCAATGCTCATTAATGCAACTATTTCCAATCATTGCTGAGCGGTGAGTGCGTGACTTTTGACAGTGATAATGATGAGTGGCTCAAATTAACGACGTTAAGAAAGAATATAACAGAAAAGACCACTCCGCATTATAAAATATAATACAGGAGCTAAAACTTTAATTCTTTTTATAAAATATAATACAGGAGCTAAAACTTTAATTCTTTTTCTTGATAAAGGGACTAATTCCTAATTCCTATATAGTATCACTTACAACGGCAAAGTTCTTTCTCAACTCAATATGTCACATCTGCCACATCATAACAAAGTTAATAGTAACATGTTTATAAAACCTTCTCTACAAGTACTTAGGATAGAAAAATAAGAAGGAATTCCATAAATTAAAATTAACTTATACATGAGCTAATTTATACAAATCAATTCCTACAAGCTTCTTCAAGATTGAATTAAGTTTCCTCCAAACAAACCCATAATCCAAAACTAAAATGCAAGTTGAAGGACTAACCTTAAGATAATATTAGATATACCACACAGCTGAAACGCAGGTTGTGTATAGACTAAAAACTATAAAATATATGAATAATAACTAAAGATAAAACTATCCCCGTCCCCTACTTTTTTAATCATCTTCGTCTCTGCTTATCTCCGATCCCCACCAGAGTTAGAAATTAAATTCACATCCTCATCTCTACTGGGTTTCGGATTTTCCATACCGTTCCCGATTTATATTATTTAAAAAAAATAATTATATTTATAATAAATTAATTTTACTATATATTTTTTATATATAAATAAATATTTATAATTTATAATTATTATTAATTAAATATATATATTTTTAATTTATTATATTTATATTAAAATATGTATGTAAAAAAAATACTTAATCATTTTTATTTATATATATATATATAGAATATTTATATTAAAATATGTATACAAAATAAATATTTAATCATTTTTATTTATATATAGAATATTTATAATATTATTATTATTATAACATTGTATTCAAATATTTGAATACTTATAATATTATTATTATTATTATTATTATTATTATTATTATTATAATAATACTGTATTTAAACATTTGATTATATATATATATATATAAAAGTTAATTCATTTTTAAGTTATCATTTAAAAATATGAAATATATAGTTTATAAGAAAATATTTAATAAGTTAATTTTTATTTAATTAGTTCGAAGTAATAAAAGTTTAAATTATTAATTTCTTTTAATATTTTAAAATATAATTATTTTATTAAGATAAAAAATTATGACATAATAAAACTTAATAAATATAAATTATAAATAAAATAATATTAGTTATTACTAAGATTTATGTAAAATATTTAAAAAAAGATAAAAAAAATTTAACTTTGTGTTCATCTAATTGGTTGAAAAAGATTAAAAAAATTGATAGAAGAGATTAAGAAAATATGAAAAAAGAAAAGTAAGAAAGAATAATATAATAAATTAATTAATATAAAAAATTAAAAAAGATAAAAAAAATTAAAAAGTGGATAGAAGAAAAATAAAAATAGTGAAATATAAAAAAAATAACATTATATGTAATAGAAACAAAAAAAATACTTTTAAAATATTAATATTTTAAATTTTAAATTTAAATATAAAATCGGGACAGAGACGAGATCATGATGGAAATTGTATTACTCATCCTTGCCCCACCTTTTAAAGCGAGAAAAATCTGACGCTCCTGATCCTTGATCAACTCGAGTTTTTTCTCTCAAACTTAGGACGAAAATAAGTCAATTCTCACGGTACAGATTTAATTATTATCCCTGAGAAAAAAAAAGGTCTTATCTAAAGAATTATGTTCTTTATGGATTATCATAAACTAAAAAGTAAAATAAAAATAACTACAATACACAATATAAGGCTTTAAAAGTTTAACTGTGAACCAATTAGAGATGATCTTGAGATGATTTCTGAAGCGAACAAAGTTAAATGAGGAGAGGAGTTAAAAAAGATGAAAGAACCAATTAGAGATGATCTTGAGATGATTTCCGAAGTGAACAAAGTTAAATGAGGAGAGGAGTTAAAGAAGATGAAAGAAGAGAAACCCGGATTGTGGGTAAAATAGATGCCGGTGTGAGAAAGTGCTTCTCGGTTGGATTTTGAGAGCTGCATAACATCGCCGAAAGCGTTGATTTGGAGAGGACCCTTAATTCCGCTCGCTCTCACGGCCTTCATGATTGCTGGCGCCACATCCCAAACGTCAGGCAGTTCTCGAAATCCCACCACACCGAAATCTTGATGTCTCGAGACTCGTAGCACAAGTTACGCCTCTGTACCCCAGCCACCAACATCTGCTTCGTTTGGAGAAGCGGTCTCATCGCACGCCGGGATCGCCAAAGATGAAATGCTTCCAGTGTTGCAGTTAGTTTGTTAGGTACCCATCTGCAAGAGGGAAGGGTTTAAGACCCTAAAACCCTGCATTTTCCAAATCACACTGCCTTGGGTTGGGTTGGGCTCATCATTGACACGGTCCACAACTGAACCAAATGTCTGACTCTTTTTTAAATGCAAAAGTAAAAGTTCAAAAGTTGAAAATTGTCGGTCAGTTTACATGTCGAATTTTTACTTATTATTTTTTTTTACAGACAATCTGGCTTCAGATAATTATTTTAAAAATTTTAAATAATATAAAAAATTATTTTAAAATTCAATTATTTAAATAAATAATATAATTTAATATTGAATTTCCGTGTATCATTTGTCTTTCTAAAATAATGCAACCTAACCAAAAATCATTTAACTTTTGATATAAATATTTTTTATAATATCTTTATTATATTTTAATTTATATTTTTTAAATTAGCTGTGGCCAAGTTTTTTAAATTTATTAGATTACATTTTGTCAATTATGCACAAAGACCTGCAATTGAGATTCCTTTGGGATTTGACCTCAATATAAGCCTAATCTATCTTTTAACTGATTTTGGAACTATAAATTTACATAAGGGTCACCCAAATCACTACTTCCTCACTTAATTTTGATTTCATATTGTTGAATAGAGAGTAAATAAGATTTAAATTAATCTTCCTTATATATAAATTACACATAATGTAATCCATTTATAATAGAGAGGTATAACTAAAAGAGTAATCGAAAGTAAACAAAATAAATAAAAGATATTGTTTGATATTGTGGTTAACAATATCTTAACAATATCTAAACAATATCTAACAATCCCCTCAAACTGGAGCATACAAATCGTACGTGTCAAGTTTATTATAAATATAATCAATTCTAGGCCCAGTAAAGATTTAGTAAAAATATTTGCTAACTGATCACTTACATTAACAAATTCAGTCTTGATATCTCTAGACATAATCTTTTCTCGAATGAAATGACAGTCAATCTTAATGTGTTTGGTCCTCTCATAAAAAACAGGATTAGAACTAATATGAAGAACAACCTGATTGTCACACACAAGTGTCATTTGAATGACATCTCTAAATTGTAACTCTCTAAGAGATTGTTTGAGGCAAACAAGTTCACAGGCAGCTGAGACCATAGCTCTATATTTTGTTTCTGCACTGGATCTTGCTACAACACTTTGTTTCTTACTTTTCCATGAGATCAAGTTACCACCAATGGAGACACAATATCCAGATGTAGATCTTCTATCCGAAAGAGATCCTACCCAATCAGCATTTGAGTAACAAACAACTCTTGTATGGTTATTAGAACTATATAACAATCATTTTCCAGAAGATCCTTTAATATACTTCAAGATACGAATGACTGCATTCCAATGATCTTCACATGGTGAATTAAGAAATTGACTTACCACACTGACTGCAAAGAAAATGTCAAAATGAGTAACTGTAAAATAATTCAATTTTTCAACCAATATTCTATACTGCTCAATATCAAATATAGGCTCCCCCTGATTTGGTAGAAGTTTAGTATTGAGATCCATGGGTGTATCAACAGACTTTGAACTCATCAGCCCAGTATAACAATACCATCATTGGATTGTGTCACCTCAATATCCAATAAATATTTAAGTTTGTCAAGATCTTTGGTCTGAAAATAGTGACAGAGATGTTTCAACTGAGAGATGTCATGGTTGTCACTACATGTAAGAATGATGTCATCAACATACACTATCAAGTAAACACATCCAGCACTTGAGTGTCGATAAAAGATAGAATGATCTGTTTCACACCGAGTTATACCAAATTGTTAAACAACCTTACTAAACTATTCAAACCAAGCTCTAGGAGACTCTTTAGGTCATATAGGGATTTGCAAAGACGACATACCATCCCAGAAGACTCCCCCTGAGCAACAAACCTAGGAGGTTGCTCCATATATATTTCTTCTTGTAAATCATCATTGAGGAAAACATTTTTAACATCCAGTTGATAAAGAGATCATTGTTGAAAAGCGACCATGGTGATAAATAAACGAACAGAAGTCATCTTTGCCACAGGGGAAAAGGTATCTCCATAATCCAACCTACAAATTTGAGTATAACCTTTGGACACAAGACGAGCTTTGAGACGATCAATAGTACCATTAGGTCCAACTTTGATAACAAACACCCACCTGCAACCAACAACAAATTTCCCAAATGGTAAACGAGACCAATTCCCAAGTTCTACTATTATGGAGAGCACTTAGTTCATTTAACATGATCTGACGTCAACCAGGATGAGCTAAAACTTCACTGACAGTTTTTGGAATGGCCATAGAAGAAATAAAGGAAAGACATGTATAAAAAGGTAATGATAGTCGATGATAACTCAAAGCAATATAATGGAGAGAGGGATTACGTGTAGAACAAATACCTTTTCGGAGGACAATGGGAAGGTCAGACTCATGTGTCAGATCCAGAGGAGACAGAGTAATTGGCACTTGAGTGGAGTCACATGGTGGTGGTTGTGATTAGTTTCGACAACTATAAATCTGAAGAGGCAGTGGAGAAGAAGCTAACTGCGAAGCAAGAACTAATGATGAAGAAGACAGTTAGAAAGTCACAAACAACATGAACATTAAATGTAATAGGAGTGTTGATAAGATTGGATGGAGATAGGTGAATATTGACTTTTACAATAAAGAGACAACTTATCAAAGGTGACATCTGCAGACACAAAATAACGGTTAAGAGAAGGAGAAAACATTTGTATCATTTTTGTGATCTTGTAAACCCTAAGAAAACACATTTATGTGATCTAAGAGAAAGTTTGTCAAGATCAGAACTGAAATTATGAATAAAACATGTAGACCCAAAAACTCTCAGAGATAAAGGATGAAGTGATTCATGAGGGAATAAAATGGAATGAGGTATTTTATTATCTAAAACTGAAAAAGGCATGCGATTAATGAGATAACATGCAGTAAGAAGAGCATCACCCCAAAAATGTTGAGAAACATCTCCATAATTTAAAAGTCTGCGAGTTGTTTCAATAAGATGTCTATTTTTACGTTCAGCTACATCATTTTGTTGAGGTGTATAAACACAAGAAGTTTGATGCAAAATACCGTGAGAAGTTATAAATTGTTTAAAAGAATGAGAAAGATATTCACGATCATTATCACTACGCAAAACTCTAATAGAAACACCGAACTGAGTTTGAATTTCATTAAAAAAAGTTTAAAAGATATGAAATAATTCAGAACAATTTTTTATCAAAAATAACCAAGTGCATCTGAAATAATCATCAATGAAAGTAACAAAGTATTAAAAACCTAAAATAGACTTAACGCGGCTAGGTCCCCAAATGTCAGAGTGAATCACGGCAAAAGGGGACGAAGCACCACGTGTGAAACTACAAGGAAAGGAAATACGACTATGCTTACCTAATTGACATGACTCACACGCTAAACTAGATAAGTTGGACAAGGCAGGGACAAACTTTTGTAACTTGGCAAGACTTGAATGACCTAACTGAGCATGAAAAAGAGAGGGAGACTTCATAACTGTACTAACATGTGTAGAGGGACGGAGATAATAAAGACCATGAGACTCATATCTTGTGTCAATCACCTGTTTCGAACTCTGGTCCTGTAAACACACAGAATTATTGGTAAAAGTAACAACACAATCAAGAGAACGAGTTAGACGACTGATGAATAACACGTTAAAAGGAAACTCAGGGACATAAAGAACATTATCAATGATTAATGAAAGAAAAAGTTTAACCGTTCCAACACCATGAAATGGTACTCTAGAGCCATCAGCCAGTGTAACAGAAGGTAAATGATTAAGAGAGGATAAAGAGGAGAGATTTGTTACCAGTAATATGATCAGTGGCTCCTGAATCAAAAACCCAAGGACCAGGAGAAAATGATTAGGTCAGACCAGCAAAATATGTATTTGTATATGTGACAGATATAGTGGAACTAGAAGACTGTTAATCCTTATACCATTCGAGAAATTTGTTGAACATAGCAGGCATGTCGGATGCAACAGAAGAAGAAGGATCTCAGGCAGATAAAGGTGGAGAAAGATTGGTCTGAACAACTGCAGCAAATCGAGGAAGACGATCATGTAATATATAACACTTGTTAATCTTGTGACCTAGCTTGCCACAATGTTCACACTTAGGATGCATTTTTCCCTGTTTGCGAGGGCGAGTCTGATCATCACGATGGGATGTCAATACAAAAGAATCATTAACAAAAATTGAAAATAGTAGAAGTGGAAGAAGTCATGAAGAACGGGAGAACAAACCCTAAAACAATCCAAAGTAATCCAATTAACCCACGAAGCACAAATCCAAAATGAGAATGCTAAAAATAAGTTCGCCAAGACTAAACGGCAAAGGACACAACAGGACGACCAACTCTGATAGTGGTGATCTCAATGACACAGTAGTCACCTGACTGAGACAAGCAAAATCATGTCACCGGTCAAAAATAAAACTCCGGTGAATTCTCCGACAGTGACGGATCTGGTGACTGCTCCAGCGGCAGCAGTGACAGCAACGTGAACCAGTACACCAGGTAAGTTCCCAAGAAAGAGAGGTGAGTTACTAATGGACACACTTAAATATCAAGTCTTTCCTTGCCAGAACTTTCCTAGACATGCACTTTCACACTACCAAATAAAATTCAGTAACAAAGATAATTCTTTTTTGATGTAGAGGATCAGTTTACCAGCAGCGGTGGGGCGGCTCTAGTAGTGGTGGGACGCGGCTCTAGCAGCGGTGGGGTGCGGCTCTAGCAGCGGTGGGACGGCTCTAACAGCGGTGAGGTGGCTCTAGCAGCGGTGGGGCGGCTCTAGCAACGGTGGGACGGCTCCAGCAGTGGACAAAAGGCGAAAAAAATATTTTCAAGATAAACTTAAGCTCTAGATACCATGTTGAATATAGAGAAAATAGGGTTTAAAATTAATCTCCCTTGTGTATAAATCACACATAGGATAATCTATTTATAATAGAGAGGTACAACTAAAAGAGTAACCGAAAGTAAACAGAATAAACAGAAGATATTATTTGATATTGTGATTAACAATATCTAACAATATCTTAACAATATCAAACTATATCTAAATAATATTTAAACAATATCTAACACATATCACTCTGACTAGAATTCTTGACAGATCCTAATTCCTCCAATGTCGATTCCTTGTTATTATCTTTCGGCAATGAAAGATACAGTTCACTATCTGAGCTCAAGACTGCATGACTAGAATTGGTTATTTGAGTTTTGAGTATAGAAGTTTTCCCATCAGAAGAACTAAAGGCAGAACACATGGGAAAATATAAGTGGACTCTAATTTAACTCCAGGCATTGCCTGTAGTAAGGATGACAACTTTGTATGACCAAACTTCCGGGTATTAAGATGATAACCATACCTACCAACAAATTTTCTTCAGAAAGTACTAATGTTATAACCCTTTGAGTGGTCCCTCAATATCTCATTCACAAGTGTATGCAAGTCTTCTAATATATCATTTCTAGACCTCTCTATATATTTCAATTTAGTGGCGGCAGCAGAAACTCTAGTATGAGGCTGATTTTGCTTTTTCACATCATGTTCAAATGAATTTGGCAACTTGAACTGTGATTCTCTGATCATAAAGACAGATCTAAAACCATTTACACCATGGGAGGGGATCTCCACCAGCCACTTTTTCTCGGCTATTAACAATTCCACCAATAGAATGATATCTTTCAATAGAATGATATCTTTTTAAGTGAGAGACCTAAGAATCATGGGTCCATCATCTTGTAATTTATGTGCCATATCCTCCCTGATACAAGTAATGTTGCAAGATGATTTAAAGCTACATAATGATCATCAATCCATCATAAAATATCAAAAAGGTCACACAACTTTCAACAGAAATTTCATTATATAATCAATTTGTTAGAGCAACGAATCAACAGAGGTCAAAAGTTGGTGGTTTTCCAATATCAATATTAAAAGGGATCTTTTAAAGATTGATACAAAACTATAACGCATACTAACCTGTTTTTTGACTGGGAAATAAGAAGTGATCATTTGGGCATGAAAATAAAAGATTCCAAATCATTCCAAAATGAACCACTAGAAAACAATTCAGGCTGCCGATAATGAACAACATTCTGGTCCAGCTCTGATAACGCGGGTTCTTCAAATTGACTAACAGTCTAGTCCACTTCAGCTTTTGAATCCTCCAAGTGACTCTCCACCTTGTTCTGATGAGCAGCTAAATCATCAGATTTTGCATTGCTTTTCCAAAATGGCCACCAACTTCTAATCCAACTAAAGAATGTTGGCCTTCTGTTATAAGTGTCAGCAATTCCACTGTGTGTTCTATCAATCAAAGAGTCATCAACTGGTGAAGAATATGGGCAGAAACAAACTTAGTCGGCCACCTTTCTAGTTGGACTCTCATGTTTGTTCCTTGCTTTAAAATTTCCCAATTCATAATTTCCAGTACCATTGTCTTCAATGGTTGTGTTATCATTGCCAGCATAGCGATTCCCTGAAGTGGTATGTTTTTCTATAGTTTTATGACTTGCATCCTCAGATTTAACATTGCCAATGTCAGATGACCTTTTAGATTTAGCTTTTAATGAACTTGTCTTAGTTTTGGAAAATTTGTTTTCCTTGGATGACTGTTGAGTCTCAAGTTGCTGTGCATTAGCCAAATCCGCAACCTTCTCACTAGACAGCAAAGATTTCTCCAAGTCATTTTGGGTCTGAAATTCATGTCCTTCGACTAATGAAGGAAATACCAATTTACCATACACACATTCCCCAACAATGTTGGTTTGGAAAGGGACATGTTGGAATGATTTTGAGTCATCATTCATACTCCTTGCATGGATGTTGGCAGGTGAGGGAGTCTCGTCTGCATCTACCCTCTCGTTGTTCTTAACAACAGATGATGTTGATGGGACAACACTGCTGTCAAAAGGATCAGGGGACTCTGAAGGGGGCAAACATACACAAAAATTATCATTCCCTACAGGCTGCAGCTGTATGTGTGGCATTGCTAATAGAAAGCATGAAAAGCTTCTAAATCCATAAAAACTTGTATCCAAAGGCACATCACATTTTACCAACTCCCCACAAAGATCTGTTATGGAGATCCCTTTTGGATGTAAATTTAATATATGCTTAATCTGTCTTACAACTGACATTGGAACTGCACCTAACTTTAAGTCCAAGGAAGGTTCAGAGATCTCCACATTTTGTAAAGATGTAGGCTGCTCAGCAGCTAGGAATGGGTTTTCAAGTGGCACCTTAAACGTTTACCAATAAGATTTTCTCCCTTAAGCAATGAAGACCATTGTCACATTACAGTTGCTGCCCTGAAGAGAACACTAGGAGCATTCCTTGGGCTAGCCAGCAAGATATTGTAATTATTCATTCTTAACCGGTGTAATATGGAAGCAAAACCTTTATCACCAGATGTCAGAAAGAGATGTGCATGTGGAGGATTTTGGATAACCCAAAACATGATATCAACAAGAATATTCTTAATATAAGAATATTCTTTTCACCTGTAAGAAATTACAAATATTATGATTTGAAAAGCTAAAAAGTAGCTGAGTGAACCATAGAATACCAAAGCTATATGGAAGTATAAATATTAGTTCATCAACTGTAAAAATGATTTACTAGCTGCAAATCCATATCAAGATTATGAATGGATGAATCTGTATTGGACTAATAAGAATCAAGCCTGCATAAAACAAAGACACTTACACTTAAATCTGCAACCACCAGGATTTTGGTAAAGGACACGTAACAGTAGACAATATCTTTGATCTTACTCGCAACAGCCATACGCAATTACAAAAGGAATTTTCCATTGCCTTTCAAATCAAAACTCATCTTTAACCTTTTATAGGAACAAAATCCCCAAAACAAAATAATAAGAGTATGCTTGATTCCCGTCTCACTTTTTGTTTCAAAAACTGTCTTCTAAAACCAATTCCACATTACTCAACGATAAATTTTTCATCCAAAATCTCGTAAGTTTTGAAAATTGTTTCTAAAACAATTGTTTTTAAAAAGCAGAAACCACTGAGAAATGTGTTCTCTTGTTCATCTTCTGTTTTTATCTTGTTCAACCTCTCCTTCAATTCGAGACTCTGTTCTGTGCCTTATACCACCCTCACCACCAACGGTCGAATAACTTGATTTAGTTCCAATTCAAAAACTACAAACAGTTTTAAAGAGAGAAACTAAATACACCCTGAGCAATTCGTTAAAAAAAAAATCATGTCTCATACAAAAATAAGAAAATAAATCACACTTTACTCTGTCTATCGTCTAAGGTTCGACTACATCAAATTTTAGCTGAGGAAAAAAAAAACAAACAAACCGTTAAAAATGTGGATGAATTGAATGCCGGTGGAAGCAAGTGCATCCTTGTCGGGCTTGGGGAGAACATTAACGTTGCCGAAAGCGGCAATGTGAAGCGGACCTTTGACCCCGTTGGCCCTCACGGCCTTCACGATTGCGGGGCCAACCTTGGAAGCATCTACGTCATCTGGCACGGTGCAGCTCTTGAAATCCCACCACACCGAAACCCTCACGTCTCGAGAGTGATGAGGAGTAGACGAAGATGAGAACGCGCACGCTTGAAGCTGAAGCAGAAGCGTGGGAGCTGGGGAACGTGAGAAATGGAAGAGGTGGTTTCGGAGAAAATGTGAAGAAGAGGGTAACGATGGAACTAAAACCCTTTGTGTTTTTCATTATTCGAGTTTAGGGTTTTGGTTTTATTTTCATTAGTTATGTTATAAGGTAATCATTATAAAAATTAAACCATTATCATACATCTTGATTTTTTGTTAAATAATAATATTAAAAACATTAATGTTAATAGTACTACTAATCATATTCAAGAAAATTTTACCATATATATAAAGACTATATTATATTATATATAAATTATACATATACAGTTTTTTAAAATTTAAATATTAATATTTTTGGTGTAATATTTTTCCCATTATGCCTTATTTTATATTCAAATATTTTCGTATAAATGTAAAATTTACATAATAAATGGAAATGAGTTTTAAAGATTAAACTTTATTTCTTGTCTAATTTCAGCATTTAGTATATTTAGATAACTATTTAAAAAATTATTTAAATATGAAATTTGTTAAAGAGTTAAAATAATTTGAGTACAATAAGCTTACATTTTTATCTTTATTATTATAATTATAAGATAATTTATACAAGATCTACCGAACAAAAAAGTTTTAAGTTTATACGAGAATTATAAGTAAAAATATATGTATTTATAATGTCAATTTTATTTGATTCCTACATACATAATATATACATAATATGTGTGTGACTTACTTATTGTTAATATATTATAAGATAATTTAATTGAGTAGGTTACTTAAGATTTATTTGTTTTTCATTATTAAGAAGACATATTAACGATGATCATAAGAAAATTGGAGCACCTAGAATGTGTGTATAAATATTGGTGGATTTTAGGGTCTCCATAATTAATGTGGTCCACCATCATGGAGGACAACGATCAACTCTTACATTCATGAAGTCTTGCACAAAATAGAGATGCAAATTGAAAAATAAAAAACTAAATAAGATATAACAATTTTTACATCAAGATATAACAACGTACTTAAGGAATATCTCATATATTTTAAGATAATGTTGTTTGAGACAGTGACGGATCTTCTTGGAAGTTGAGGGGGACTGTGACTCTCCAAACATAATAAAGATTTATATATATTTACTTATATATTTATAATTTTATTTTCTCAGTCTCTTCCAGCTTTGTAACTCTTATATAATTTATGATTTTATTCTTCTCAAACTTAATAATTATTTAATATATTTAAGTATATATCTAAAATTTTTATCTTTTTATTTTTTTATTTTCTTTCTTCTTCTTATATTTATTTATTATTTATTAATAATATATTATTTAACCTTAAGATGAATGGTCAAAATCCACGATTCCAATATTGATGAACGGAGAAGGTAAACATAAGGACAAAATATGGAATTACTAAGATAGGAAGGTGTATTTCTGTTGCTTGGTTGGTGTAGCCACTCTAGCATTTTACAACGGACCGCAGTTAAGAATTGCACATCACATCCTTTCTGGATACCACAATCACCATAATCCACATCATGAAGATCATTTTTCATCAGGCAAAAGATGGATTCTGGGTTCTTTAATTACTCTTGTTCTTAAGCGTCATCATCTGGAGCCTTTGGCTAGTTATTCAGGTAGAATCACTTATCTTGCATATTGGTGCTATTCAACTTATGCTAGGGTCTGTATAATGAGGGAAACACTAAGATGTTGGTTTATAAGTTCTCTACCTTCTATGTTTAGATGGTGTATACACACAATTCTATTTTTAGCTTAGCTGATGATTTATGACTGTACTAACACTGTCCAAAAAAGAACAGGCTCAAATTCTTAAAAGTTACCCTGCAAAGCTGAAGTTGACGAGCCTTCAGTGCCTATCAAGTTTAATCCAGTCATTTGTAATTGCTATAGCTTTTCAAAGAGATATTCAGCAATGGAAGTTGGGTTGGGATATGAGACTGCTTGCAGTTGTTTACTGTGTAAGTATCAAAGTTTTCTATTTGTGCAACTTTTTTCTATATCTTTGTATCATATCATAAAAGTTGTTCAATTCCATTAAAAAAAACTTAGATGAATTTAAGATTCAAAATCTCTGAAATTAGGTAAAATTTTAATAATCGATATAAAGAAGGTGAAGGTTGTCTAATATAAATATAATAAGTATACACATCTTACAGGGGACACTGGTGAGTGGGCTCATCCACTACTTGCAAGCTTGGGCGACCGAAAAGAGAGGACCAATTTTTCCAGCGATGTGGAACCCACTAAGTTTTGCAATTGCTACCACAGGTTCCATTTTACTCTTGAGCGAACCCCCACATTTAGGAAGGTGAGTTACGATGAAACTATATATGATGTTTGAGATACGTAATCAGCATTCAAGTTATTATTTAGTATATATTCCACATTATACAAACATTTATATATAACATATGAAAGTGTTAAAAAAACTAAGGAAATACTATTTTACATTAAAAAAGGATTAATTAAAATGTAAAACTTCACGTGTGATTTTTATCATTTAATTATTAATATAACATTATAATGAAATTTATAAGTATTATATTATATTTAATATTGATTAAAATTATTATAAGTTAATTTCTATTATGCTGCGAGGTGTTTGAAAATAGTTGAATAGGTGATCATCATAACTATGACTGGCTCTTTCTATAGTTATTAAAGAGGAAAATTATTTATCCAATATTATAAGACCGATTATGAATGGAATTTTTTTATTTAATGGGTGGTTTGATATTTACTTAGAGGTTGGTTAACTTATACAATCTTTGTAATTTAATGATATGTTATGAGGAGATGTCACATTAATTTTATCAGTTTAATTGACTAAAATTATTATATTATTTAATAATTAGTTAAATAATAGAATTTCAAAAATTATGCTCATGTGGATTTTTCTTTTTTACTTTAAGTTATGTTCATATAATTAATCTAAAATTATTTAATATTTTATTTATTTTATACACTAAAATTTATGGGACAAGTTGTTGAGTAGAAAGATACCACCTCCTAACTTTTAGGCTCTCTAGTAGTGGAGAATGAAATAGAATTCCTACAAATATGGGCATAAGTAAATCATGTTAGGCATAGATTTTTTTTTTAGTAATCAATAATCTATTTTGGAGTAATATATGATATTTAGGATATATATATATATATATATATATATATATATATATAAAGAAAAATAATCAATTAGATAATAATCAATTAGACTAAGGTGTTAAATAAGAGTATCAAAATAGATTTAGTTTGGCCAATTCAAAAGACCGGAAAAGTAGGTCAAATTAATCTAAAAAATTTGTAACTTAAATTTAGTTTTTGTTTCCTATACTTCCATATCCCAAGTCAAATATCTAATATACTTTTTTCATAATTTTAATTTTTATCCTAACTTCTTCTTCTTTTATTTGTGTACAACTTTTGCACTTCCATCCCTCAAGCATCTCCATTCTTTGGCTATTTGATTTTTTTGTACTATCACCTCTATTAAAGGTATTTTCTAACAATTAAAGGTAAGTAATGACTAATGTTATATATGAATTACATGTTCTTGCCCTCAAATTGCACAAACATACCCAAATTACTCAATTGAAATAATGTCGCGAAAATGAGATTGAATTTTGGAAAAGTCAATCTGAAAATGCATTCTGGATTAGGTGTTCCAAAATGTGTTTCTAGAAAAGCTAATCTGGAAATACATTCTAGAACACCAAATTCGAAATGCACTTCCGGATTGACTTTTTCAGAAACACCCAAAATGCATTTTTAAATTAGCTTTTATGGAAACACATTCTGAAATGCGTTTCTGAAAAAGCCTAAGTCTTTCCAAAAACACATTTTGGATTGAGTGTTTCATAATGCATTTCCATAAAAGCCTTTTCGAAAATGTATTTTAAATTGGGTATTCCAAAATGCATTTTCAAAAAAGTCTTTCGAGAAACACATTTTGAATTGGGTGTTCCATAATGTGTTTCTAGAAAAGTCTTTTTGGAATGCATTCTAAAAATGAAGATAAGTGTAAGAGTGAAACAGAGTTTAATATAATTATAGGGGTGCAGAGAGAAATTATGGGGGTGCAGGAAGCTACAACCCTTAAATTTAACCATACTTATTTCAATTTAGCTCGTTTAAGTTATGGATTTAATTCAGATTAGCACGTAAGCTTATGATCAGTCTGTTTTATAGAATAATATTTATTTTTTAAATATAGAAGGAGTTTCCAAGTTTTTAACTCTTTTTAATTATCTATTATCTTATAATTTAAATATTAAATTATTATATGTTAAATAAAATAAGTCATCATAGGTTTATGGGTGGGTTTATTTTTTTAAATGATAATTATTTTTTAAATAAAAAAGAATATTATTTTATTATATATATATATTATAAAATAATTGAACAGACGAATTTTCTTATTCTAAGAATAGACATAAGAAAAAAAGTAATATTCATTTATTCTATGATTTAATAATTAAAATGAATTATTATTTTATATCAATAAATCACTTAAAAAATAATAATAATAATAATTAAATTTTTAACTTTTATTTTATAACTAAATAAATCTCTTTTCTTTTAAGAAAAAGTCTCTAATATTTATTTATTTCATGATTTAATAATTAAGATGAATTATTATTTTACATCAATAAATCACTAAAAAAAATAATGGTAATGAAAATTAAATTTATCTCGGTACTAAGTAAATCTCTTTTCTTATAATTTACATATTAAATTATATTTGAAATAAAAATTAATTTCATAAATATAATTTTAAATATAAAAATATATGTTTTTTATTTTAATTAATTGTTTTGATAAGAAGCATTAATATTTTTTTTATTTCCACGCTAAAATTAGCTTATTAATTTATTTGCATAAAATCAGAATTATGACTTATTTAAAATATAGATCAAATTAAATAATCATCTTTTGTTTCTTTTGTTGGTAGGTAAGTAGATTGATCACTGGGAGAATTATATTTGTATATTTATTAAAATAAGGAGAGAAATAATATTGATAATGTGGACAAGATATACTTCAAGGTGTAAATAAAAGTAAGAATTGAATTGAACTATTTTTAAATATAAACTATACATTCTACATTTTATAAATGGAATTATATATATTTTTTAAATACATTATTTGAATGATTTGAACTATTATTACACACAAAAGAGAAAGATAAAAAGAATTGAACTCAATTTTATATATGAATTAATCTGTTAACAAATTATAACCATTAATAGTTTATAGACAAATTTTATCTGATAAATTAATACAAATGATGAAGTCTTAATATGACAAGAAATAAAAAATCATTAAAGAAAGATAAAATTTTCACCGCAAGAATGTACAATGTTCTGTCTTTTTGTACAGTGCAATGTAGTTATTAATATCTTAAGAGACATTCTTAATATTAAAATAATTTTTAACAAAATTGTCAAAACTTGGATGACTCCAACCTTAGTAAGAAAAAGTTAGGTACGCATCTGAATTGATTAATCAACAAAAGTTACGAGTATATACAGTGATCCAAAAGCAAAAAGTCAAAAAAGAAGAAGAAAGTGGAAGTTATTTTCATACTTCGTTGCCCTAATTCTCTAAAATTTGTTTTTCAATTCAGGGTTCTGGGAGGTATTGTGCTGGTTTGAAGCCTCTACAGTGTTTTGTGGGCAAAACACAAAGAAGCTTTGACTCATCATCAGAATTCTTTACCCATTAAAGATTGTGCAGAGGTGAAAACTGAGACCAGTAACATGGAACTACAGTCACCCTAATGATTTTGTCATTATGTTTTCAATGATTTATGTTTTTGTTTTTTCTCTTTGGGACCCAAGGATATGTCAATCACACTAATCATGGCTTTTTTTTTACCAGTTTACACTATACAAGAAATTAAAAACGAAAAGACCTTGATTGCACATGAAACTTATCTTGATACTAATGGGAAAAAGATGTTGCTTATAAGAATGTGAATACCTAGATATTTTTATCCAATAATAGGGGAAAAGAAGAAATCCCAAGATACCTATTTATTTGAATAGAAAAAGAGTTGAGTAGAGAGGAGAATTTGTTTTTGCATACATGTGCAAATAGTAATGAATACCAAGTTCCAACCACGTACTCGGCTTTATCTCTTTTTTTTTTCTTGCATGAATGCCTTTGTCGCCTTTTCCTAAATTGGGAAGAATTCATATGCAACGAGTTTAGTTTGAAATCCAATATCAATTCCGTGTATCTCTTTTGTTAAAAGGAAAAGGAGAAAGGAAAACGAAAGAGACTAAACTAACTACCTAAAGCTTTACGCGCAGAGTTGGGTTTTTTACGAGGTTGGTCCTCCACACACCACTCCTATTTGAAAAATATGATTGGTGTGGAAATTAATATGCAAGGTGGTGACTTTATGTTGTAGGGTTTGTGGGGATTACCAAATTGAATAGATTAATTGAACTAATTAATTACTTTTTTAATAAATCATGCATGTTAATATTATGATTGTTGGGGAAATGTGAGATTTTCCATTTTGATGTTAACAGGTGAGGAACTTAACTAATCAATCATTCCACTTTCTCTGTTCCTTCCTACACATACATGTGCATGTTATTGAGATTGGATCAGTTAAGAAATCTTAATATTCGGAAAAGTATCAACACCCTCTTCTCTGAGGTGGCACAATATTTGACACATTTTTTGTACTTAATATTGTGTTGGATACATCTAAAAAAGTTTTTTTTTAGATGTCATCTTTTTCAGGTATTAGTCCATATAAAGGCTATTTACATTGTTTTAAAAAATAATTTTATAAAAAAATTAATTTTTTTTTAAATATTAGTTTATAAATTTTTCTTTTTTATAAATTATTCAATTTTTTG